GCACGAAAATTTACCGTTGTCCATATTTTGGAGAATTGTGTTAATTGACGATATCGAGTACATCATGCTGAGTGCTGTGCTTACTGCGAAAACCGTATTGTTGATCATAGAGAATGTTGCAATCTTTGACAAATTTGATAAGTCTAGAGTACATAAGTTTTTCAAAAATTCTGTTATAAATCGTGAGCAGTGAAATAGGTCGATAGTTTTCCAGTAGAGAATCATCTTCGTCTTTAAATATCGTGATAATCTCAGCACGTTGTAGTTTAGATGGAAAAATCCCAGAGCAAATAGACCGATTAAATATCGTAGCTAGAGGTACGGATATGATCCTTTTTGCCAATTTCAGCAACCTAACTAGAGAAGAGTGGAGACCATGGGCCTTGTTGTCTTGCAAAATTGAAATTTCTAAATTAATATCTTTCGGAATAATAGGATCAAAGAAGAAAGTGCGGTTGAGTGGTGAATCAAAATAATCAAAGAATGAATTAATGGTCTGAGGAATTTTAGAAGCCAGTTTGCTTCCAACAGTGGCGAAATATTTGTTAAGAATAAAGGCTGAAAGTTTCGAAAGAAACTGTTTGGGGCTGCGTCGGTGGGAATAACGAAATAATTTGGAGATATCAACAAAGTTGAAATGGTAAATTGGCCACCGTAATGATTACAAAAGTCATTACGGTGGCCAATTTACCATTTCAACTTTGTTGATATCTCCAAAATATTTGTTAAGAATGTTGCTTATTTCATTCGGATCACTAGTTGGAGCCTCATTCAGATTTGGGCGAATAAAGTTAATTGAATACTTTGGGTATATCAACAAAGTTGAAATGCGTATGATGCACAATCCTCGCATTAGAGAACGCTATTTATGCAATAGCGAAAATCAGACCTGAAAAAAAAAAGAGATTTATTATACGACTGAAGTTCAAAGGGACACAAGTGCGGTATCATTCGGGACCATCCGGGACAGTGCCCGGTCCAATACTGAGAGAATATTGACCGGCAATAGAGCATTTTGATTGGTTGATTTTAGTTATTTGCCCTCTGATAAAGTGTCATCAAAAATAATGCCTGATAGCAGTCTCATCGTCCCTAGTAGCCTTCCGGCAACTGGTGCATGCTCGGGCAATTCCAATACCACGTTTAATTCACTGACGTATCAAATTTGGCCTGTTGTTCAGGTTGCATTTTTGGAAGACAACAGTGCTTTTGTTTCTCCCATTCTTTTGTGTCTCGATTTGCGGCGTTGGGCCTTTTTTTGAACGTTTGCAACTTTAGTATTCTAATTTGAGAGTCGGCATTGGTATCAGAAAGTTGACCTAACCGCGCCTTTCCTTGTTAGATTTACTTCATTGTGTTCAAACGTAACCGACCATTATTACCGACCTTAAGTTTAGGTGGAAGGCGACATAGGGCTCACTTCCAAGAACGTCTTCAGCTAGCTGAATATCGTGATCTTCAGTCCACTTCATCTTCATCAAAATAACAACAAATTATGAAATACGATTTGCAAGTTGCGCGCAAAAATAAGCAACTTCCTTCTTCGTTCTTTATGCCGGGCTTTAGTTTGTCGAATAAATGGTAGCAATAAACACGTAATTTAATTCTGGCCGACACTTAAGCAGAAAAGATTTCTCAAGGTGTTTTATTTTGAAGTCAGGATGCGCTTATTAGCTATTAGTGTTTAAATAAGAATCATTAAGCTCGTAATTAATGACATTTTTAAGTTTTAACTTTCGAATTTTCGCTTCAAGTTTCATACCTTTGCTCTTTTAGCTTTAACCATATGATTTTTATATGAGATTTTAATGTCTTTACAATTAGCCCTATTAAGTAGGGCAGCTCGTGCTACGAAGAGCACTATTTAAGCATTAGTAAAAATCAGACCTGAAAAAATTCAGGCCTGTACGGGATTCGAACCACTGACCTCTGCGATAYTAGTGTAGCGTTCTACTAATTGTCAGCTAACAAGCCAAGTGGGAGCAGGACATCAAATTATTCCGACATAAACCCGTAAGATGATAAATCAAACACAACGAATCTATGAACTTCAAATATCTGAACTGCGGTTATAGAAAGGTATTTGTGCATGATTGTTTCCTATTACGCATGCACATGCAGCTATATGCACTTACATATGCATGCAACTTGTTCAAGTTGTCAGAATTTTTACAGCTCTAGCCTTCTTTCCTACAGACAGCTAATTTGAATTAGTATAATTTCAAAACTGAGCAAAGAGTTTCCAGCAATCTGATTGGTCGAGCGGTTCCTTATATGACGCTATATCAACCGTTCCACGCGGTTTATATAAAATGCTAAAATAAAATGTTAATAAATGTTACTAAAATGTTATGACTTTAGTAATTTCTCTTTTGTTCAGCTTTAAAATTATACTAAAACAATTATTCGCCTCAGGTTCGGTGAATATTGTCGAATAATCGTCGAATATCGTCTAATAATCCCCTATCGTCGAATAATCCCCTCGACTTCGTCTCGGGGATTATTCGACGATATTCACCTCGCCTTTGGCGAATAATTGTTAAATATAGACAAGAAACAATCTTTATGCCAGGCACCAACAATAAGAGCATGTATTTGGAAATATAATCCAGTCAAGAATGCATCTCGTATACCGAATTTGTTTGAATAGGCACCCAGACGCTCATATGTAATTTGGGCTAAATGGAGGAAGCTTATTGTAAGTTCAAGAGGCTTTAAATACTAAAATAGCTATAGGTACTGATTGAAACGTTTCAAAACAATACACAACTAAAAAAAATTGAAAACTAAACAAAAAGCTTTGTAAGTATGGAATCCGCTTGCCCGTTCAACTTTGCTTTGAGTCCTTGATGAAAAGCATTTCAAATACTAAGCAAGCAAACCTACTTTGACATTTCCTCTCATCGATCGCTAATTAATCGTCTTAATGAATGCCTCTTTAAGACTCTGAAACAAGCTACGCTTTTAGAATCTTCACGGTGTCTGAAACAAAGAGCATTTTAGTGATAGAGATTTCTCAACTTTATTGCTTATTTACGGTTTCTAAGTCTGATCTTTTAAGAATTTTATTCTTTGGGTGACGTGACTAAAATTGACGGGCTACGTGACTCAGGTTTTGGGCGACATGACTTCGGGAGAGATGAGTCTCGGGCGACGTGACCGTAAATCGCTTACTCAGTGGAGGGCGCTTAGAAGAAAGGGGGGCGCTTATTCAGGGAAATAAAGAATTCCTCTTTCCCATTATTACCAATATGAAATGTATGTAGTTTAATATAAAATATTTGATGCAACTCCCATTTCCTTTGTGAATTATATCCCTGCATTAGACAAAGCTTGCATGGAAAAGAGTCTCAATTCAACTGTTAGACCAAAATGATTTGAGACCAATTGATTCTTCTTTGCTACAAGCTCGATGATCTCTTTTATCACCACTGTGATTTTAGAACTAATGAAGACTGCATCGTAGTTACAACCATTCCTATTAGTCTTCAATCGTACTAGCATGGTAAAACAGAGTAGAGGCCTGCTTTATTCTTCTTTTTCCTGAAGTTTGCTAATTGAACTTCCTTCCTAGTGTTACCGTGGGTTATATTCCAGCCACGAAAAAGGATGAATTGTAGTCTTTCGTGGCTCTGTCAAGTTCTTTTGCTTGCTGAACCGGCGCATCAACTCCGGTAGGGGCTCAGAGTTCAACAAAAACTCTCCAACTACAAAACATCTACCAAGATTGAAAAGTTGTATTGTTTTAGAAAATTTTCTTACTAATAGTGTTTTTTTTTCTTCTTTTTCTTTTTCTTTCTTCTATTTCCTTTCCTTTCTTTTCTTTTTTTAAATTTTTTAATACTATATTAGATCCTAGGGGTTTCTTTTAGTCAGATTATTTCATATTAATGTATTATGATCATTGTCTTCACTAAGGGTGAAATGAAGGGCAAATTGAAACCTTTGTACACATATGTGAGGGTTAACCGTTAGCCGTAGAACGGCTGAAAAAATTAGCCGTTGGGTGAAACAAATTACAAAATTTAATCGTTAGTCGTAAAAAAAAGTTAACCGTGAAGATTTTCCTCTCTACAATGAGTTATTTTGTGTCATTTTGGGTTAACCGTTAGCCGTAATTGAGAACCTTTTATATTCGAGTATCTTTACTGACCCCGCTCAGCGAGCAAACAGGTTGATAAACTGAATGTCATATGTCAATAGCAGGGGGGAGTTAATTTTATATCCTACTGCTTCAGTAGATCTAAATATTAGAAGTACTTTCCGGGAATCCTTGAGAACTTACATTTAAAGTATGCAATGCTAGCGGCTTTGATGTGCTTCGAAGAATTGCACAGAGAGGCCATGAAAACGATTAGCTAAGCCGTTTCGGAAGATGCCTCGCTGTCCTATTTTCAACGAGCAGCAAAAAGCCACCGGCAACATGAAAGCGGGCTATTGCATCTGGGCTACGAGTTACGCCCTTCTCGGAGAAAATGCGAATTTGAAATTCGTTACTTTTTATTCTAAAGCATCCGGCAAGTATGGTAAAATAGGCCCTCGAACAGTACTGATCACAACAACATTTCGTGATCTGAATGTAATTTTTCATGGCAGAGACAAAACATGTATTGTATGTCCGAGTTTTCTTTACGTTCAATCAACCTCAGTTTAATTTTTCCGCTTAGGTGTCATAATTATTTTCGTTCGCATTAACTAAATTGCACGCAAAGTGAAATGTAGCACAGGATTCCCATTATTATCTATTGATTCCAATTATTTTTGATTTAGCCACTTTTTATAACTGTTTTCCTCCCTATCACTTAAGTTGGTGTATTTTTTTTTGTTTATTTACGCCTCATCCTTGCGTATGTCAGTGAACAAAGACACCCTTGGGGCCTAACCCACGCAGACGACATCTTTCAAAATCAGCGCAAACAAATCAATATTAGGCGTAGTAATAAAGGCGTAAATTGGCCAACTTAGTGGTAACATTATTCAAATTCAATATTTGGAAAAGGTGCCACAATCGTTTGGAGTTGTGCTTATTTACAGCCAAGTTTCTGCCCAATTAAAATCTGAGCAAATGCGAAAATACTCTGTGATACTATCCACGATTTCTCGAGAGTTCAGAGTTTTGTAAAGAAACCTTTCCAACAGCAAGGCTTAACAAGTACTTTGACGTAAAGTTCATCCGTACGTAGCCCGATCACCCCAAAATATTTGGTGGATCAGACTCATTTGCATGTGTACTAGCTTGCGCATGTGTACTAGCTTGCGCAGGTTTTTTCCCGTTCCCTTCAGCTGTGCGAGAGTCTCGAGAAGACATGCCAAGGCACATAAACGCGGCATCTTAATTCATTAATCGCTTTTATTAATAGATTTTACCTTTTAGGTTTTTGTTTTGTTTTTCAAGAGCGCACTTCTATTCGGCTTTGAAACCGGAAAGCGCTTTTATTAGGGCAAGTTTTTGATTAAAGCTTAAGTTTGCTTTACACTTTCAACTTTGGTTAGCATCTTAACTTATTCCAACCTACATACAAACAACCCTTCAATCAACCGTCACTTTTTCCTTCTTCTCAGCTTTACGCCTAAATCCCGAAAAATCACGTAATGTGAAATGATGTGAGGATACTTTTTTTTGTAATTCGTTTTAAATCTTAATTTTGTAGTTTTACACTTTGAAATTTTCAGGTAGTGGTTTAATTTCCACTGATCTTAGGGCATAAAATGTCACAAAGCCGGACACCCCGATGACTTGGCATGTTTGGGTGGAGTCTTCGTTGTTTCTGCTCACAATCAAATCAATTTAAATTGCAATGAAAGCGCAACTCTTTAGGGTTCGATGGTAGCATTATGCAAATTAAGTTTCATAATGCTTTAAAATGGACTTGAAGTTTCAGAAGTTTTAGTTGCAACTTCCAATTACCCGGAAAAGGTACGTAATATAACTGATCACAAGCAAGTTCTTATGCTAGAAGCACAAAATTAATTATCTGGAACAACGAAGTCTCTTAATGGTTTGAGCTGACAAGCCGCTTACAACTCTACTTATTTTAATCTTTCTTTGCAAAGCAGGCGTAGAAGTCACAACAAGTATGGCATACTTCGTTTGTTTGCTGATGTTTCTCGTTCGTTTTATAATGTACGCAAGTTCTGGTAAGAGTTGAATTATTCTTTATTTCTGCTTTTCATTTCTTATCATCACTTTACTCAAGCTCAAATATAATAAGCACGCATTGAAACAGAGTTTCGTCCCCGATTCTAAAAGTTCCCTCAGATGACTTAAACAATTTTAGCTATCGTTTCCAGTTAAACAAACTCCACACCATAGATAACTATAGGCAACTTTAAAATTGTTTTTTTTGGACAAAGGTAAGCCACGAAATAAAGATATATAATTTGCAGATTTTTTTCTTTTTTGCTTTATTGTATTTTTTTATGTTTAATTCTATGCATCTTTCATGTACTGGTCACCGGTTTACTTAAATGCTTACCTTATACGAGTATATGCACGTTCATTCTTCGTTTTTTCCGTTAGAATTTATCTATTGTTATCGTCACAATTTATTTTATTATCTGAGCTTTGCTTCATTACTTTCTTTGTAATTCTCGCGATCCTTCTTTATAATTTGTACACGAAAATTGTGTAAGCTCATAATGTCTTAGTCAGAAACACAATAGTCCTTCCTAAGACGTTAGAGCGCATTGTTAAAGATCAGTAGCGCCCTGCAACCTGTTTGTTCGCTTGCTCGTTCGTAACAGGATCAGAAACATCTGGTAAGTGCTAATGGAGGATCACTAAAACATTTGGCAAGATGAACGAAAAAAACGCTATTTTATTTTTTAATGTGAGGAATCTGTAACTTACCAATGCTATTGTAGATAATGTTTTTGTTGGACGACTCCAAAACCGGAAAATTTTGGTGGCCTCTTGAATAATCAGTATTTTAATTAAGTCAGAAAAACAACAGTCCTTCCCAGGTCGTTGGAGCGCATTGTTAAAGATCAGTAGCGCCATGCAACCTGTTCGTTCGCTTGCTCTTTCGTAACAGGATCAGAAACATTTGGGAAGATGAACGAAAAACATACTATTTTATTTTTCATTGTGAGGAATCTGTAACAGGATGTTTTTGTAGGCGACTCCAAAACCAGAAAATGTTGGTGGCCCACTATAAATATCCACTATTAATTATCAATTAAGTTAGAAACACAATAGTCCTTCCTAAGACGTTAGAGCGCATTGTTAAAGATCAGTAGCGCCCTACAACCTGTTCGTTCGCTTGCTCTTTCGTAACAGGATAAGAAACATCTGGCGAGTGCTAATGAAGGATCACTGAAACATTTGGAAAGATGAACGAAAAACATGTTATTTTATTTTTCACTGTTAGGAATCTGTAACAGGAACTTACCAGTGCTATTGTAAATACTGTTTATGTGGGTGACTCCAAAACCGGAAAATGTTGGTGACCTGTTGAATAATCACTATGCTAATGAAGAGCCCATCCGCACTAGTAGACAAAACTAGAATTGCCCCGACAAAATCAAAGGACAAATTTTGTTTTGACAAATTTTTGTCTCCTCTGTTTCATCCGCACTAAAAATGTCGAAGCTGTTAAAGCTGTCAAATTCGGTCAACAGCCAAAACTAACACTGGTACTATATATTTCACTGTAATTTTGTTCAATTTAGCTTTTCCTTTTCCTTTCCTTTGAGTGGGCACTTTCGGATCCTGTGCCACATTTACTTTTAAATTGTTTAAAGTTGTTTAATCCGCGAGTTTCGCAACGAAAGACAATAGCTGTGGTTACACTAGACCTTTTGCCAACGGGAAAGTGAGACCTTACCAACGGGTAGTCTGTGTTTTGTGTGTGACCTCTATTCCCACAGTGAAACTGCCCATGGGAAATCACTATGGATACATAAAAAAGAACAAAAGAATTACCCATGACGTTTCCCAAACCAAATCGTAGGGTTTAGCAGTGGTTTATCTAACCACAAGAGTAGTTCAACCAGTCGGATGGAAGAAAATAGTAAATCCGGAAACCGCAGCACATGCTGGGCATTTTTGTGGTGTTGCGCTGAAATCGCGGCAAATATCCTCGCAAGTACCAAATTCAAGACACGCGACATCAAACATGGCCAACTTTCGAGGTTCACATTAAGTATATTTTACTCGTCTTTGCTCTGAATACTCCAATAAAAACCATAAGTTTCGCGGTTTGACTNAGCTCATATTTAATAATGTTAATAGTACCACTACTAATAATCAATTACTGTTATTTTTGTAGGGGAAAAGGGTTTTTTCGTGATCGTGAAGGGCCCTGTGGCTGGTTTTAAACGTGATTTGGTTATATCGCCGTGAACGTTGAAGCGCCTTTTCTTCATGGAAATTGCGAAATGACTGGCTTCTTTCTCGAAACGTGACCTGAACCGCTGTTATTCTTCTTTTCTAAAATTTTATCCTGTAAGCGTCTCAAAACAAGACGTGAAACATGACTGTCATTAACTACCGTGAAGTAATGCAATACTTCTCGACGAACAATGAAACGTATGTTTCTTGAGTACGTCATATTTCGAAACTCTGCAGAGTCTGGTCAGTTGTCAGATAAGAAATGAATCGTTTAAAAATTGAAATTATTAGAACCTCTTTATTTATTAATTTACCTATTTCAATAATTGTTCATATCTAGTTTATTGTATGATTTAGAAAAGGACCTGGCCAGTTAAATGGACGAAGAAAAATTTTAAGATTGTACTCATTGGTTCTTCGTTTAATTTCTTATCACCGATGCCAGTTGTCGTAACCAATTTAACATTGGCTTGCGATTTCCGGTTGTCGATTGTACCGCAGACTGGATACCAGAGGTTTTATATTTTCGTGGCTTGGAAAAACCTTGAAGCCAACATCTCCAGACCTGCCACTAACGTTGCAACGTTGCTATCTATATATCGACTTATCTTGCAACAGTTCGCTGTTTCACTTAGTTTTTTTCTTAGATGCGGGGTAGATGGTACGCGATACAGAGGTGACAATTGATGAAGCATTCGGCTCTTTGTCCCAATGTCATTGATCAACAAAAGCTTTATTTTCCCTAACCAGCAGAGGGATATACTTTTACTTCTGAAACTTCATTTATTTTTAACCGGCACTGAGAGCACAAATCAATTTTAATTCAAGAATACGGCCAATAGCCGTGTTTCTGATCCTCGAAGCTTCTTTCATGTTCTGAAAACGTTGTTCTTTTAAGTTTAACACTTCTCTCTTTTCAGTGTAAGATTATTTTTTGGTGTGTTGATCAAGCGTTTGACCTGAACAAAATTCCTCAAACTCTTTGGAATGACCTTCATTTTAAGAGATTACATCATTCTGCAAATAAGGGCTTTGTCTTTCATTTCACTTTTCTTTTTAGGTCAATTGAATTAATTCTTTTGGATGAAATCAATGAATCAATGGCCCACTAAACCGAGCTGATACAATGACTGGACAAGGGTTGTATAATATTCATGTATTATTATAACTAATATTTTAAATGATTAATGTCATTGTTAAGTATTAATCACACCCAAGACTTTTACTCACACCCACACCCACGACCCACGACTTGTACCCACGACCCACGAGCCACGACCATTAGTCAAACTCAACCCAAACCCATCCCAACCCAAGGTTATTACCCACAGGGTTACCTCGGGAAGTATGAGGGGTCATCTCCGCCAATATCCTGTTTCAAATTCTGTTCTAAAAAACCTGTATGCTATTGCTTTTTATCAAATTCTCTTCAGAATAGAAATTGGCGAAACAGAATAGAAATTGATGAAACAGAATAGAAACTGGCGAAACAGAATAGAAATTGGCGAAACAGAATAGAAATTGATGAAACAGAATAGAAACTGGCGAAACAGAATAGAAATTGGCGAAACAGAATAGAAATTGGCGATGTATCTATTTCTATTCTGTTTTTCCGACGAACCAAGTGGAACCTGAGTAAGAGCCAGTTAAACATTATAATTTATTCTCCCGATTCCCGCTCAAAGAAAATTTATTCTTGCCTGATGACTAGTCTGTTTACTGACCGTAAATTAACTATGTAATATCGAGAGTCCGCCGACAGTTGCTTAATTTTGTAATTCGTTTTATTTTTTCTAAAGGACCCTTTTGATGAACCTTTTTCGTAAATTATATCAAAAAGTTCTATGCGCCTTTTTTTCTCCGATAAAGCGAAAAGTTAGAAATCCGCCTAAATGGCCGTTGTCCTCCCAGTAAAGCAATGAAAAATGATACAACTTTGGCAAATTCGTACGCTACAACGCGATACAATCCCGCTTTTAAGTTGAGTGTTCTAGCAGATAGTCCTTTTATCTCTTAGGAAATATTAATTTCTTGTTATTTTGTTACGTTCAAGTCTGAATAGTGACCCGTTGAAATAAAGTACGTTGAACGGCTGTCACGCAAGAGGTCAAAGCCAATCTTTCAACTTGGCCAGGAATGTACCAAATACATAACCTCTCCACGTCTCTCCTGTTACTAGTTGTATATATATATATATATATATATAT